AAAGTAGTGAAGGACCCATTGAATAGGGCTCGGAGGTTCCGTGATGGATTGAAGCCGGGTCTCCATAGTCAGGTGATATCACTGAGTCTGAAGGACTATAATGAGATTTGTAGATAGGTCTAAGCAATGGATCATGATGTGATAGAAAGGGCTGCCACTTTTGTGGATAGTAATTGAGGAAAAAAAAAAGGATAGACCTAGCAGATCTGGCTATGTGTGATCTTGATGTAATTGTGGGCATGGATTGATTAGTCAAACCAAAATGCCGTGATGGATTGCAATGGCTGGGTGATTCAGTTTAGTCCAGCTAGACACCCTAAATCCGAGTTAGTGGGGAGTCAAGGAAGAACCTCGATCCCATAAGTTTTACCAGTAAAAGCAACCAAGTGGTTGGATGAGGGTTGTCAAGGTTGCCTAGCAAGTGTGGTAGATTTGATGACAGACGAAGTGCGGCTGGAGGACATAGCAGTAGTGTGCAATTTTCCCGATGGTCAATGTTATTTGGGAGCACATGGAATAGAAGGTGCCACCTGGGAAAGCGAAGGGGCAATGTGACGTCAATACCCCCATTTGTTTGAGTGGATGAGTTGGATTGTAAATTTCGAGAACGAAATTTTTATAAGGGGGGAAGAGTTGTAACAGCTTGAATTTCGACATAATTCCGGGATCAATAAAATTGACATTATTTCGCATTTCATTTTAGCAGGTCTCGTCCAGAGCTGATCACTTTCGGGATACTAACCAATGGGGTATGGCTAACTAGAAAAACGGTACGTGGACCAGGGACCCGATTGCGAATCGGGCACCGATCTCGAGAAACGAGGAAGGAATATTTTGGGCCAACGTGGGCCGATCTTAGGAAAAGTGACGGATTTGGTTTGGCCAAGGCCAACGATGTACAATCGGATCGCAGGTGATTCTGCACGACCGAAAGTGCACGTGGCCAACCAGTCCCGAACTTAACCCGAACGATCGTGACCTCTGGAACTAGTGATAATTCCTCTCTCTCTCTCTCTATGATCGGAACCGTCATGATTCGGATAACCTTAGGTCGATACGCGTAACCCCTAAACAGCCGTCCGTTAGTGAGAGACCTTGAAATTGAAAATTTAGCGAGTTTTGGTCACGAAATTAGACCCGGACTTCGGTGTCGATTTTCGAGGGCTTGCACGACTATTTTTGCGAATCCGACGTCATATTATGTTGGCCACTCATATTTGGGGATGGTACGGTCGAAAAATGGAAATTCGGCCTAGGACCGGAAAATTACGATTTTGTCCATAGGCCTATTTTTGGGTATTCCGAATTTTGGGGATTTTGGAAATTAAATTTGGGGATTAATTGTGGATAAATATCAGCCCCAAAAGATTGGACCAAAATGCCCTTGGATATTTTGGGGATTTTGGAAATTAAATTTGGGGATTAATTGTGGATAAATATCAGCCCCAAAAGATTGGACCAAAATGCCCTTGGATATTTTGGTTTGGATTAATCTTGGCCAAGTAAGGAGGGGCAAAATTGAAATTTGAAAAGTTTGGTCAAAATTTGACTATTTAAGTCCAATTCCCTCTCTCTCTCCTCATTCCCTTTCTCTCTTCTAACGGCAGCCCCCCCCAACCGAGAACTCTCTCCCTCTCTCTCTCTCTTGGCCGTGGACAAGCCAAGCCGGTTCAAGCCACCGCCGCCGTCGCCGTTTCGCCGATCGTCGCCGCCGTGTGCCGCCGTGAGCTGCCGATCAGCCGATCCCCCTTTCCACTCTAGCCGAGTTAGCCTAGAGTTCGGGTAAGTCACGCCCTAAACTCTATTTAGGATATCGGGTATTAACGGACTCGTTTAGGCACGGTTTAGGGTAATTTAGGGGTTGATGGAAGTGATTGTAAATGGATTAGAGGAGAGCTTGATCCCTTGTTGTGTTTACGGATGTTCATGTGGCTGGTGGATGATAGTTTGGACATGGTGGAATGAGTTTTTGCGGTTGAAATTCGGTAGAAATCAACTAGGATTTGAATCCGTGCGGTTTGGTGTGATTCTCGGATTCGTGACTACTGTACTCGTCCGGTTTGCTATTTTTGTGGAGAATTTTTTGGGCCGAATTTGAGGAAGTTTCCTTCATCAAAGTTGCTCCCAACATCTTGAAGTATAACATATTTTAAATTTGGAATTTTTGGAGGCCATTTGGGTCGCACGAAAGCCCATTTACAGACCGTATTAAACTGCCCGTAACACTGTTCATCCCGACCTTCTTGTCTTGCTGAATTTTTATAAAATTTTCCGGATCTATTTTCAATGAACTTCCTTCACAAAATTTGTTGGAGACTTTCTTTTATATGACATATGAAAATTTCAAAGCTTTCCAAGGTGATTTGGGTGTTGAAAGAAATGTATTTTGAGGACAAAGTAATCTGTTAGAGCGAACTGATTTTGGTCTGATTTCGAGGGACAAAAAGGCATGGTTGCAGATTGAACCGAATTTCGTGTTCTTCATAAGAAATGTTTATCAAGATGTTTTTTTATGATATATCCAAAATTTAGAATTTTTGGAGTTCGTATATGCGATTGTATGGTTTGTGATTGTTGGTTGATTCTGGATTGTGTCTTGGGCTGAATATGGCGTGATTGTGTGCCGAGAGTGTGTGGCCATGAGGCGTGATGGTGTGATTGCGCATTGAGTTCGCGTGCCAAGCATGGGTGATCGTGTGGTGTTCATGTGGCAAGAATGTGTATTTGTGAAGTGTATGTGAAGTGTGCGATTGTGTGTGGCTGTGTGTATATGTGGCCGTGTGGTATGTGTGGTATGAGTGGAACGAAGGTACGGGAATGTAGGATTGGTTGGAAAGGTTCCGTCCTGAGGCGTGTTCGTTTACGCGGGACGATGCCGTCCCTGACGAGGTGACGATGCCCGGCCCGATGGGGTGACGATGCCTGACGAGGTCAGAAGACCGTTGGCCTGATGCGTTTTACACGGGCGCGGTAGAAGGAAAGTCGAGTGTAGGATTCCGTCCTGAGGCATGTTCGTTTACGCGGGACGATGCCATCCCTGACGAGGTGACGATGCCCGGCCCGACGGGGTGACGATGCCTGACGAGGTCAGAAAACCGTTGGCCTGATGCGTTTTACGCGGGCGCGGTAGTGGTGGAAAAGTTGGGAATGAGCTGGACTTGGCTTGACGTGTGAGGATTGCGAAAGTTGACGCATGGCGTGAGTTAGTGTGCGAGTGTGGTTGTATCGTGTGATGTAGTGCTTGATTATGGGGTAAAAACTGCTAGGCATGGTATGGGACGTGCCCAAGTGGGTTTTGCCTTATAATCGAGGCACGCACGATTGTGATGCATTGATGCATGTGAATTCATATTACATGCTTTGGTTTTGCGACATGAATGAGGCATCATTGTGGCATGTTGGCTGTATTATTATTTGGCATGCAGGGAGGTGTATGAAGAATCCCAAGTAGGTTTGCGTGTGTGTTAGTATGATTGGTTGTTTATGTCAGGTATGTGTGGTCTGGAGGTACGTGATAGCCTAGCTGGGGTTTAGGGGTGTACTTATTGAGATGTAATCTCATGGTTGTTTCAACCAAACATTTCAGAACCCCGGTCTGATCAATGAACCTTCCGCCGCCGCCGCAGCGTTTTGTAATACCGTTGCACACCGACATTAACGTGGTAGAGTAGCCGACAGACGAGCAGGAGACTCAGGAGGATTCAGATTCAGAGAACGAAGAATCAGACTCGGAGTGAACGCCAAGTAGAGGGCGTAGGGGCAAGTGTAAGGGTTGTGGAATAGGCTTTTGAAGCGTATTATTTTTGGTGATAGGGTACCCAGGTTATCGATCTTTTTTTATATCGGTGGTACGTAGTGTGGCGATGCGGTGTGCTTGTATATATGTGGTTTTGTAAATTGTGGATATTATATAAGTTTGAATGAAAAATGAATTTGTGCATTCTCCCTGATTACCCCAGTTATTATCGTCCGGGTATTGGTGGTTTCCGCTGTTGATATAAATCTCTGATAAGTTTCATTTGGGTCGGCGATACCCTGGGATGTCGCATCATTCGACCAGAGAAGTGTGTCGCGTGCTGGAAGGGGTTCGGGGCGTGACATAAATCCAGTGAGAAGATTTTGGAAATGCATACTCTTTAGGATATCCTTGTGAACCGAGTCATCGACAATATAGGTGAAGACTTAGCTAAAGAGAAAACTTGGTTGCCTTTGTCACAAGGTGTTGAGCATGACTATAGCTGGATATTGAGTATTAGATTGATCAATGGAGTGCACTATTGATGTGTGATATGATGAGATTGGTCAATGGTCTAGTCCATTGATGTTTGCTTTGATTTTATCGATGGAATGAGTATTTATGACACGGACATAGTTATGTTGAAGTGATATAACTCATTTTGTCTTTGTACGCGTATTATATACTAGATTTTGGATAAATGAGTTTGGGTACTGTTTTATAAAATATGTATAGTGGATGCTCGAACTGTGAAAGAAATATATATTGCTTATTGGGTTGGGGCTGTTTATACCATTAATCTTACGTCTTTTTCAGGTTTTCAGCTAGCACCAAGTAGGATGAAAGCTGCCATCAACTGGGGAAACTTTTGGTAGTTGGATTTTTGGGTACGAGTCCGGATAGATATATAAACGTCTGATGACAATTGTTGGGTTAGCTAAATTCAGAGATTTGTATATTCTTTTGAGGGATTTAGAATTCGGATAATTGTAATCATTAATTAAATATATAGATGGAGGTATATATCGGGATAGCAAGCTAATGTTGGTTATGTTGAGGCTCCATCCGAGGCACGGCCATGTCATTCCCCTATTTTTTAAGGACTGGGGTGTAACATGTGTAATCCCATCACTTCAGAGCAATCTCAAACTATAAGACAACCAAGGACTTGCGTGTCATTTTGTTGCAGTTTCCGGATGGCCTCTGATCACAAAAGTGATGTTGGACTCATTCAATTAGGATCAAACAATAGATACTCTGCAAATGGCGAAAAAACTTTATATTGTTCATAAACGTGGAAATACTTCCACTGGGAGATCACTTATCCATGTATCGTACAAAAATAAAGTGAAGCAGTTAATAACTAAATATAACTACTTGCTCATATGAAAGTTTAGAGAGTCGATATAATTCTCTACGAATAACCATTGGCAATCAATTTCAATAGAAAGGCCTATACCAAGTTGCTTGACCCTTCTGAATTATTAAAACGCGAATCCTTTGTTGTAGCCCTCGTCTAATCAGTACTCCATCCGCGGGGAAGCCGACAGATTCGTGTACACAAATATCACATATTCATGGAAGAGGCAACTGCAATCCATGCCTTCAGAACCTTTCCAGATTGTTTTTAGCAGTGTTTTCTACAATTTGTGAACCTGAAGAAGCAACGTCAAAGTGGAGGTCACTGCACCTTTCACACATTCAAGATTATAGTGATTGCAGACCATCTACTGATCCTTGCAACCTTCATGCACTGAGAAAGCTTTTCTGAAGTCCACACTGCAGGGAACTTCCTCGATGGGAAGTTCATCGACCTTCCGGCATGGTGATTGTAACGATATTCCTTGTGTACGATTCTTCCCTTATCGAAGATGCCTCTGTGCTCGATGGACCTCTCTCCTTAAAGAACCCGGGCTGTTTAGGTTGTGGCAAGATTGCTTCCTCATTCGCTAACATGAAAATGACTGAACACATTGTTGGCCTATCTCCAGGACACTTTTGGACGCATACCAAACCGACTTGAATGCATCTCTCTACTTGGGATGCGATGAAGGAGTCGCATAGAGATTCATGCAGAAGCTCCAAGGACCTGCCTGCGCTCCACAGCAGCCATGCCTAGGACAAATCCATTCATGTCATTAAACATCACATAATAGACGAGTTTATACAAACCATACTGAACTACTTACATGCCCAAGAAGGTTGTGTTCATGATCAGGATGGCAGAACCCTCTATTCCTTTTGCCAGTTACTACCTCTAGCAAAATTACACCAAGGCTAAAAACATCGGATTTCACGGAGAATTTTCCATCATAAGCATATTCTGGGGACATATAGCCACTGCATTAAGAATATCATGTCTTAAACCAACCCAATGTTAAAACAAATATAAAATCTACCCAATGTTCATGGACAGTTGCTTGTTAATCAAGATGAGAAACTTACTAGGTACCAATGATTCTTTTCGTTCTTGCTTCTCTTTCATGGCCTGCAAAGATTTTTGCGAGGCCGAAGTCTGAGATTTTAGGATTGAGGTCAGCATCTAACAATATATTGCTTGCTTTGAGATCTTTGTGAATGACTTGTAGTTTCGAATCTTGATGAAGATACAGAAGTCCTCTGGCTATTCCTAGAGCTATGTCAAAGCGGCTTTTCCATGCTAACAAAAAGCTTCTGTCATCATCTGCACCCATTCAACCCAACGTAAGTCATAACATTTAAGCTCAATAATCTAAAGAAAATGAGTTCATCAGGTAGCATTTGGATGTATGTCCATGCAGAGGCACAAAGGACATATAGATTAATAGCATGGGGGTCGAGTGAAAAGTAAATGAAAAGGATCAAGGAGCTCAAACCGAAGATGAAATAAGCCAAGCTTTTATTTGGCATATACTCATATATTAACATTCTTTCTTCTCCCTCGATGCAATAGCCAAGAAGTCCGACAAGATTCCTATGCTGAAGTCTGGCAATTAGGAGAACTTCATTCATGAACTCTTCGAGACCTTGTCTTGAACTTCTGGACAGCCTCTTCACTGCTATTTCTTGACCCGTGGAGAGATTTCCCTGCATATATTTTTTTTCAATCAAGCTTATCGTGTTCTCTAAACTCGCAAATTCGTAGCTCATTACCTTGTACACTGAACCAAAGCCACCAGCTCCAATCATGTTGGTCTGTGAGAAATGTCCAGTAGCATCGGCAATTGTAGAAAAATCAAATAATGGTAAATCAATGTCTTCCTTCTGACTTTGCAACCCTACAAGGATGAACATTATCTATCAAATGAAATTAATAATTAATTCTTCATGGTCCGACAACAGAATTTCAACCCAAATCTTCACAGTAAAAAGTGGACGGGATTACCAACAAGCTTACCTCTTCTTCTGATTCTGCTCTTCCTCATAACACTCAATGCTATACCTGCTATTAACAATCCACAAATGACTGAAGCCACTGTGATAGTCAACAGTATTTTCTTATTGACAGGGCTGTGGATGGAATCTAGAATAGCCAAAAAAAACTGTGTTATCTAATAACAGAAAGTAATATGTTCATAAGCTAATGAATGTAACCAAAAATAGTGCAGCAAAAGGACAAACAAACGAGTAATGAATAGTTGGGTACGAGATCATGATTAATCAACCATTTACTATGAACACAAAGAAAAAGAAAAAAGCAAGATCATCACAGCATAGGAAAGCAATTGCTAACTAAAATTGTACTCTCAGTCACTGGAGATCCCGTGAAATAGAATCCATTCCATGGCCCTGTTCGAAATGTTTTTGTGGAGCCTCTTTTGAGCACTTCAAACTGGGGCAACTCATTAACTTTTATTCCGTAGGTATAGTCTCCAGAGGAAGGATCAATCGTGCTTTTCCAAGAAGTCAGATGCCATTCCAAACCGGTTTTGAGGCTCCATCCTATTCGCATACCAGCTAAAAGGGTGTCAGTTGGATAGTCAAAGCTCTGCCATGAGTATTCACCAGAACGTGAACTGTTATTCTCTGAAACGACAAGTTTACCCGAATCCAACAGCTGTGCAACTGGGTTTCGTAAAACCCTGGAGGAATTCGAAGACCACATGACACTCTTCGATCGGTTGACAACAACTAGATTCCTTTCCTGGCTAAATGTGAGAACACCATCTGAATCAGTGAGCGGGTTGTTTCCGTTGGCGACCCAAACGACTTTTTCAGGGCTAATTTTGTACCATATCCCCAAGTACCTATACTTGGAGTTTTCTCGAGAGAAGAAGCCAAGCTCAAAGCTTTGGCCTGAAGAGACCAATTTCTCTCCATCTTTAATGGACTGACTTGAACTTATGGTATCAGACACGATTGAGAAGTTCAACACAAACATGACATAAATAGAGTAAAAGAAGGGGGAATAAGTAAGCTTTTCCAATGCCATAGAGCCCTCTCTTAATTTTTTCCCTGACTCCTCCCTCTCAATGACAAGTTTTAAACTCAAAGGTTCTCACCAAGAATATTTAGCTGTAGACAACCGACAGGATATTCTGTAGCCTATATCATTAGCAATTCCCGGTAGGATATGAAATCAGGGTCATGGAATGTAGACGACCAAGTTAAGCTGTCAAGTGTTCACATTGGGAGACTTATGATGTCAATTCATGCAATGCGAGCTAGTCATACCCACTCCTCACAGCTAGCCCATCAACCAGGTGAGTTAGGTTGATCGAAAATAGTACGATCCAAATTAACCCATTTTTATGCAATACAATGTTAGCGATCCATACTCGTTCCAACCCGAATCCAATGCATACTCTACCCAACCCGAGCTCCAATTCTTAGCAATTGTTTTCCTTAAATTGTTGCCTTTGAAAAATGGGCGACTTATGGACCGGTTCGCCAAGTCAGTGAGAGAGCTCGGTTGCTTGATTCAGGTCTTGGGCTAGGACTTCTCATTGTACATGAGCAATGTAAAGACAAAGTGAGCGCCGTACTAACAGACAAGAACACCTACTTGGACTAGTTCTATAATATTTGGATTTATCAACTTGGTCAAATGAAGTGGCTGATAGAAAAAAAAAGATAACGAAGACCACTTTATTTAAAGCAAAAGAAACGTGGACTGAGAGACAAAAGGGGAAGAAGAAAAAGAGAGTGATTGCAACAGAGAGGAAAGGGGAAGTAGAGGAGAGGGAAAGGAAGAAGAGGGAAACTCGTGCGTACACGCCACAGAGACCTCGTTAAATCGGATTTACCTCGATTCGCAACGCTCGACAAAGATTTAAGCCATTTGTTCATCTAATTGGAGTAGTTTTCGAAATTAGGGCACAAATTCAAAATCAAGTGAAATTTGAGTTGCAAAGTCTAATTTTGGAGTAGTCAAGTTGTGGAATTACATGGAAATCATGGATAATGGCATTGTAGAGTGGTGGGTTTTGACTGGAGTTGATTTGAAGTAATGGTTTAATTGAAGCAAAATTTTAGAGTTTTGCAAGCGAGCTCCGCTTTGAGGATAGCTTTAAATAATCGCTTTGGGCGAGCATTTGTTGACACATGGGAATCATTTTGTTAGTGTTTAAGCTTAGTTTAGTTGATTAATTGATAGGATTACGAGGTCATCGGTGCATATAGCTACATAATTTAATTTAGGGCATTTCCAAGTGAGTAAAGCTATTTCTTCATCGAGTTTGTATACTAATATTTTGAAAGCGATATGGATTAGATATATTATGAGCTAATAAAAGCATGTCCGTTGCATAAAATCTGGATTGAGCATTTACTACTTTTCGATTATTTGTGAATGCTTTGAAAAATGTTTTATGAAAGGCGTTTCGAAAGGTTATTGGTTTATGAAATGAATTCCGAAATAGTGTGAGAAATGTCTTTTGAAATATATTTTATTTGATGAACTGAGTTGCGAAATATTATATGTTTTGGTTTGTGATATTGATTCTGAATTGGTTTTGTGAACTTTGGAGGATGTTGTGGTTTTGTGTTAATGCTCAGTATCTCTGCGAGCCCATTGAGGGATTTATGGGTATGCATACTAGTTTTAGGATATCCTTGTGGGCCAGCTACTGGCAATATAGGTAGAGACCTAACCAAGGGGCAATCTTGATCGGCTTTGTCATGAGGGCGTTATGCGTTATCGTGGTTAGATATCTGAGCACAGGAGTGGTTAATGGAATGAACCTTTGACATGTGATTTGAGAATGATCAATGTAATGGTAGAAATTGATCAATGGACTTGACCATGGATTTTTGAATTGTGATGGTGGATTAAATGAGTATTTCTGATTTGTATAATGCTTTGTTTAAATGATAAAACTCATATTTTATCTTGTACATATACTATATTTTGGATTTGGATTAAATGAGTTGTGATTTGGCTTTGCAAATGTGCACAATGGATACTTGATCTATTTAGAACAGATGTACTTCTCATTAGGTTGTGGTTACTCATTCTATTCGTCTTTCATGTTTTTCAGGTTCCTCGACTAGCAGCTGATAGTACGAAAGCTCTATCGACAAGGACTTTTGGGAGTTGGATTTTGGGTATGGTACGAGGGAGTTGTATATATGTATGTTGATAGTTGTTGGGTTTAACTGAGTTTTGAGATGTCAATATTTTTTTAATGGATTTTTGGAATTCTGATGTTGTAATCAACATGCTGGTTTATCTTATATATATATATAGAAGGAGATATATATTTTTTTCATAATAGGTTGTTGGTTGTATTTGAGGCTACGCTCTTTGGGTGGAATGATGGTCGTGTCATCCCCCATTCTTGTTGGTTTCGGGGCGTGACAGGTTCGGGGTCGGGTTATATATTCAAAAATGAGGCTTTTGTTTTCTGACATCTATATGTTTTGGACTTTTGAGCACCCACTTAATCCTTAAAGAGAACACGTTGGGTAATCAACGAAAACACCCACATTTGTACTTATGGGGATCATTGTACCGCCACCCCTCCGGAGAATTTCGAAAGTAAGATAAGAACGGAAATGAAAATACAATTAGGTAGAGGCGACCGGATTCCGTACATAACTCAGCTCAACCCATATTGCTCTTATTTTGAAGGCATTACTTAAACCTGTTTCACTTTTTCTAATCTTGCCAATTGATGTCAATTTCCTCTTTTTGGTCTTTTGCAAATTCAGCACGCGTTTTCTGTGTTCTAGACCACATTAAAAGCACAAGAAACCAAGTAGCGCAAATACAAGTCAACAAAGCGCAGCTTCACAAGACCTGCAGTTATCGCAAGAAAGTCCCCTTCCCCACCCACCAACGTTTCGATCGGAGGGTATTTTACATATACATCGCTTTCCTCCACCATTCCTTACAGGTCAAAGAGAAAATTGTATTTTTTGTTGTCCACTGTAAAGCTACATCCCAGAAATGTAGGAAGAAGTTCGGATCAAACTTTCTTTTTTTGATTATCAAGTCTTAACAATAGAAAAAATGTCTGGTCATAGTTTTTTTCACTGTATATCCTTATTCAAGAACTAATTTCCCTTACGCTGTCATTAGTTATTTTGTGAAATGCATTTTGTTTCTCTGCACACTTACATGAGGTTCTTTTCTGTAGCACTTCAAATTGGGGCCACCCATCAATATTTATACCACAGGCACAGTCTACAGAGGAAGGATCTACTCATGCTTCCCCAAGAAGGCAGACATCGTTCGAAAACCGGTTCGCAATCTCCATCCTACTTCCATACCAGCTAAAAGGGTCATGAAATGCAGAAGATCAAAGAAGACATTACTCCCGACGTGCACATGAAACTTCTAAAGATTATAAATCATATGTTCAAACTGTCACTTGCAGAAGGCAAAAGAGAAAACTCTACCGATCTGAATGCTCCTCTGTGGTCAATGGTTTTCTGGACCTGCATACATTGGACTTCATACCAAGCGCACAAACCAAGAAGTCTTGGACAATGAATGAAATAAATGATCAACGGCATTTGTCAGATCTATCCGCAATTCCTCACAAAAACGCACTATCGACCATCCAACATCGTCACTGTGACTGCATTAACAGTATGGAGTTCTTCTTGCCTCAGGGTTGCGCTTATGTCCATTGAACTTCTTTCCATGAAGAAACCAGGCTGTTTAGGTCGAGGCAAGCTTGCACTTTCATTTCCCAACATGGCAACTACAGAGGTCATCACTGGTCTATCGTTGGGGAACTTCTGCACGCATAACAAGCCGACATGGATACATCTTCGTACTTGAGGTTCCACCAAATCATACAGGCACCCATCAACGAGTTCCATGGCTCTGTCTTCACTCCAAAGCAACCATGCCTGAAAAAGATTGCATCTCGGGCTTAGTAATGCAAGACGAAAAGAGAGATAAGGGAGAGAGAACAACACATGCTCTGGATCTTTTCTCTTACATGTCCGAGAAGGTTATGGTGATGATTTGGGTGGCAAAATCCTCTGTTTCTTTTGCCACTTACAATCTCTAACAAAAGAACACCAAAACTAAAGACATCGGATTTCACAGAGAATTTTCCGTCGAAGGCATACTCAGGGGACATGTAGCCACTGTAATGACAAAAATGATTGGTATTAGTCTTCTAACATAACACGCAGTCCTATTTAGACATTTTCTGGAACAACGAGTTCTTACTAAGTTCCGATGATTCTCTTTGTTTTTGCTTCTTTCTCATCAGGTGCGAAAATTCTTGCTAACCCAAAGTCCGAGATTCTAGGGCTTAGGCTGCTATCCAATAATATGTTGCTAGCTTTGAGATCCCGGTGAATTACCTGAAGTTTAGAATCACGGTGGAGATAGAGAAGTCCTCTCACAATCCCAATGATAATGTCAAAACGTTTTTCCCAGTCTAACAATAAGCATCTTTCACGATCTGCATGTGCAGATAAGTTTAGTTTAGTCAACCAGACGGATTAAGTTCAGTGCACAAATAGCATCATGATCCCGTAACATCTTTCATTAAAGGGTCTAGAGACCGCACCAAAGATAAAACAATCCAAGCTCTTGTTTTGCATGTACTCATAGACCAAAATCCTTTCCTCACTCTCCATGCAACAACCTAGAAGCCCCACAAGATTCCGGTGTTGAAGTTTGGCTATCAGAATTGTTTCATTCTTGAACTCTTCAAGACCTGTCCTGAATTTCTGGATAGTCTCTTCACTGCTACTTCTTGTCCTGTGAAAAGATTGCCCTGCATATTGCGATTAGAGTAGACATGTTAGACAATGAAATATGATCACTCTGTTTGCAGCTAACTTTTTCTTGGAATATTTGACTCATTACCTTGTAAACAGGGCCAAAGCCACCAGCTCCAATCAGACTATCTTCAGAAAAACCATTTGTAGCATTAACAATGGTAGCCAGATCAAAAAGTGGCAAATCAACATCTTCCTCCTTGATTTTCCAACCTGAAAAAGGCCTAAGGGCCTTAAGCTCTC